CACATCTTTTCTCATTCCCCCCAAGAGTTAAACACATCAGTCAAAAGTTGTTTTTTCACAAATTAAATCTGGAGTATCTTCTGTTGAAACCACAAAAATAGAAGTACTGTATATTATAAATTCCAACTAGCTTCTCGCTCTCAAGCACTAGTTTCCACATGTTTTTTGGCCTCTGTCATTTCAATCAATCCATTTTATGTGTATAGCCCTTTACAACACTCAGTTCTTTACAATAAAATCCCATAAAATCCATTAAAGCACTCAAACAACAAAACAGTTAAAAAGTATTAAAAAAAGTGTCAACATGCACGTCTTTTGATCTTTTTTTTTTTTTTTTTGAGTACCACCCTCACTCTCAGCCCAAAGAGACAAATTGTGACTCGCAAGGCTTTGCAGACAAGATAATATGTTTAAAGACAGAATGAAGACAGAACTTGACTTGTTCACTAAATTCTCTTTCTGTTGAGACAAACAAGATGGATGTGAAATAATACCCCAGCTTTAAACTGTAACTTGTAATTATCAGATGCAAAAACAAAATCAATACGTATCAGGCATCAGCTAAATGAATAGATCTGATTATTTTGGTGATTAGGAAAGATAAACGTTTCAATAGTTATTAGAGCAATACATTGAGAGCTCATTTAACTAATCACGTCTATATCAAATATGTTCCAATGGCAGTGGGATTGCCATGACAGGAATTAAACCCCTGCTAAGCCCCTCGGAGACAGTTATGTGTTTGTGATGCCTGTATTGACTGGAGTCTAGATCTGCCGTGTTTATTGGCAGGCTACAGCGAGCGAATTGCATGCGGAAAAGGCTGTATACACGTGTAGGAGCGGAGAAATCCTTTTACAACAGCAGGAGCCGAGAGGAGCGCCTGCGTTACCTGACCTGCATGTAAAGTACTCCACACCAGCACCACTGCTTCCCCTTTTCTCATGCCGTCATCCCCTCCGCACCCCCGCCTTCAGTCATTGCTAAACCCCCATGCAGCTACTACAGGTGCAGCCCGGGATCACAGGAAAACAAAATAGCATTACAAATTGATGCCTCACTCCCAAATTGCCTACATGTGTAACTTACTACACTGCATCCAGCTGCTGTCTCGCCGGTGGTATTCCAAGCCTAACACAACAAGCTCAACAAGCACAAGTGAAATCTAATCCTCTGGCTTTGTCAACGCTCCCAAAAATCCAAAGTTTTTCCCCTCTCACCTGCTGTGCCCTTGTGACTATCCACCAGCTAGTCACTCCGCGTGTCCAAGTCGTCCATCAGCTGCTCTGTATCCTCAATGAGCCCATGTCTGTTGCTCTGTTCTGTCGGTATAACCCGCCTCCCCTCGCCTCCCCTCGCCTCTCGCTCTCTCCCTCTCCTCCCTCAGTCACTAGCACATGCAGCGGAACTCTCTTATTTAATTCATTACCACACCAGGCCGATTAACTCCTTCGCAGATGGTGGGTTTTTCGCGCAGGTTCTGGTCTAATTGAGCGCTAGTAGTGGGATGTTTTGAAAGCTTTCCGTGCTCCTCCTCCTGTGTGCGTTTCTCAATGCTTTCGCCCCTCCCATCCACTCACAACATGTATGAATGAAAAGGAAAACCATTACTGCATTTGCGCACAAAAAAACCCCACAGTGCTAAAAAAACCAGCCACGTCGTTGTAGATTTTAGACACGCTTGTCTGTGTTCCACCATATGTTCTTAAAGATCCTCATCTGCATGCACAAGCTGACCTTTTGCAATGCGATATTCCCCGTTACCAAATAAGGGAGAGGTTGCCGTGGAAACTGAGGACTCCACCTGTCTGTCACTGGCCCCTCCTCCTCCCATTCATACTCTGTCACGCTGCTTGGAAATATTAAACGCAAAATATTGGCACACATTTAGCATCATGGCCGCATTGTAGATAGTTTTAATTTGGTTAATTAGTAGTAGTTGTAGTTTTTATTTATTATACATAAGTACAGGGTTATTAATTTAACAGCATTTACTTATAAATAATTTGTTTTGAATACATTTTGTATGTCATTGTTTTCCTTCATTTCATTGAATTATGTACACTGTATATTTATTGTTCTAGTCAAGAATGATTATTTAAAACATTTTATTATCATGCTTATTCCTGAGACTCTGGGATTGGTTATTCTTGATGACTCTTTTCTATAAGAACAAAGTCATATTAATTGTTTAGAACAGCAATGCAGCATAAAGTTATGATACAAAAAGTCTATTGTCTGTGGAGGTCCCAAAATTGAAATTCTGGATTTTTATAAATAACAAATTGTTCCATTTGAATAATTTAAAAGGACACAGATTTCACATAATTGCCTTTTAAAATCTTGTATAATCATGATCAGCTAATTGCGTTTCCTTCTCAATCAATCCAATCAAAGTAGTTTCAGAGTGATTGTTTTGTAAACTTTATTTTCACCTTTACTTAAAAGCATAAAATGAAATGGGGGTAAATCAGAAATGCAGTTTGCAAGCAGGAGTTCATAGATGTGTATATGTTAGTTATTGTAGAGTAGTATTGTGATTTTAAAACTGTATAAGAGATATGTGTCCTTATTATATAGCCGAGCTGGATATATATTTAATCCTGACTTGTAGTACATAAAAAGTGACAGGACCCGCATCATGACTGGGACCCAGAGGAATTCCAAACACGGCCCCAGAGACGGTCTAGTGTCAGCTCTAATGTATTTGCTTATTATCTGAATAAGCACCTCTCTCGCACTAAGCCGCTTTCATGCAGCTCTTTTTAAGGCCTGATAACATGGAGTCACTGACCTTATCATTCAAGTATGTGGATTGCTCTCCAGAGACACGCTCGCTTTGCCAAGTGTCAACATTCTCCTTAAATACTTTTTGACTGATGTCGCAAAATGTCACTTTTATCATGGTTTGTATGAGTTTAGACTCTCGCTGCTTCAAGCTCCATTTTTCAAAGTCACTTAAGTGTGTTTGCCAGACAGAAAAAAACACCACCAAGCGGGATACAGTACATCTTATAATATTGTAAGTGTATAATCATGAAGAATAACAACTTTATGTGTTTTGCTAAATGTGTCTCAGAACAGAATGTGACTTTATGGTGGTGGAGACACATGTTTTATGTAATCACACGGGTTTGTTAGTCTTTATGTCTGTTAGTCTGACAAACAAACAGACAAACTAAAAAGGTATGGGTGGATAGGTATGAAATGTTCAAGTACCTCGGAGATAGGCCAAGGAACAAATGATTAATCTGGAGGCTCTTGGCAAAAGTCTGCGTTCTATAAGTGCTTTCAGAGATAATCAACTCATTTAATTTTATATTGTCTGAAATCAGAGTTGTCTCGAAGGGCGTCACAGAGCCAAGTCCGGCAGACCAGCGACCGATCCACAAGTCCAGGACACAGAGTCCAGGACACAGAGTCCAGGACACGGAGTCCAGGCATATATTATATAACATATGTTTACGAACTCCAAGTTGTCAAAATTATCTGTTAGGACATTTCAAAATATTAAGGTGTGATTAAACTTAATGAAATTGTGTCAGGATAAAGAACAGATATTTGGGGAAAGTTAAAACTCGGTCTTCAAACTTGGTCCTCAAAGGTCTGTGTGGCTGCAGGTTTTTGTTCCAACTAAGCAGAAGCACAGCAGACTCCACCTTGCATGAGTCAAGTCTTAACCCGGAGACTGGAGGAAATGGGTGGAGTCTGCTGCCACACAGACCTTTGAGGACCGAGTTGAAGACCCCTGGACGAGAGCTTTGTCAAAACTAAGTTGAATAACGGCCCTCACCACTGGAGCCACATGACTCCAACACAGTGGAACGGCGAGAACAAGCCTCCTGCTGGTGATGGAGGCAGTTCATCTCTGCATAATACAAGCTAATGAAACTTATCTCTACAGTTTTAATTCCCCATAACTTTATACATGTATCATTAAACAGTTACATATTTTTAGTGCAGTTTCATGCTAGTTATACATTGGTTCAGTTGCCAATTGGCACAAGTTAAACCAATAATTTCTCGTTTTATATTAACTTGACTGAGCACAACCAAAAGCCCAGAGGTGGTTTCACTGATCGCAGCTGAGCGAACATAAAATGAAAAATGACGAACTGCCGATGCACCGTGTTAATTTGTCTAAACTACTGGAGCATAATTGAAAGTTAATTACTCAGTTCCTTTGTGAAGTGCACCTGTTTGAAAGCATCTGAATGCATCCATTTTACAGCACTGTGGGTTTTGTTCGTCTCACAATAATCCATAAATATGTGTTTGCTCAAAAGATTGCATTGTTTCACCAAAAGAGGATCTATTCCGTAATGCATTTTTGTGTTAATATGAAAGTAGTTGAAAGTTAAAAGGCGTTAAATCACTCTGGATATCAAACTAATAGGTTAAAGCTGAGTTACAGAACAAATCATCTGCATTATGTGTTTGGCCTTTAAGCTGTAAGTTGTAAAATGCTTACTTAATATAGATAGGACACACATGAAAAACTATACAATAATCTGGAATAAGCAACATCCCCATCTAGTGGTGAAAGTGAAAAATTACAATACATCTTTATAATGACTTAATAACTTACTCAGAACAGTCTGTATGACGGCACCCAAGATACATTTCCAACTAATTTGCCCAATACTATTTACATTCTACTTTTGAATGAATATAGGAATGAAATTGGTATTATTAAATGCATAATGTATGTCTCCTTTACATTAATCAAAGAATAATTTATTTTAGTTAGTTAGTGAGTTAGTTAGATACTTCCCTGTAGGAAGCATCCCTGTAGGAGAAATTCAGGTGTCCAGTAGCAATAAAAACACATCCGACCAAAACAAAGCAAAACAAAAGACTGAGAAAGACTAATATTAAGAACACGGCAGCGCCTCACTTTTACGTTTGCCAAGAAGATCAATGTTGCAGAAATATGTGAGCTTCCCAGATTGTAAAGCAGTGTGAAACATGCAGAAAAAGCTCAGTTTAGCATCCTGTACCTGTTCCCGGGCTTCTCTTGCTGCTCGCTCTGCTGACCGGCTCATGCTGCCGTGGGACGGGGAGGGCGAGGGCGGGGTGTGGTGGGGGCTGTGGTGCTGCAGCTGCTGTTGTTGCTGTTGGTACTTGCTCTTGAGGTGGTCCATGAAGGCATCCCGTTTGCGCTCCATGTCGGCCTTGTGGAGGTTGGTGAGGGCCTCCAGGCTCTGGGCGGCGGTGACCGTGTGCCGGTGCTCCGATGTGTGCACCAGGCCCACATTTGAGAACCTCCGGGCGTTCCCCAACGTCCGGTACTCGCGAGGATACTCCAGGTCATCAGTGGAGATCATGTGAGTGCCACCACGCTCGGCATCTGTAAGGGCAGAGAGGAGCCGCGGGGGAGAAGAGAGAGGAGAGGGGGGAGGAGAGAGGGAAACCACGGAGAGGAGCCGGAGAGAAGAGAGAGAAGCCAGGGAGAGGAGAGGAGGGTGGAGAGGAGAGAGAGAAGCCAGGAAGAGGAACCAGAGAGAAGAGAGAGAAGCCAGGGAGAGGAGAGAGGAGAGAGGAGATCAGCCAGGGAGAGAAGAGAAGAGAGGGAAGAGAGGAGCCAGGGAGAGGAGAGAGAAGCCAGGGAGAAGAGAGAAGAGAGGAGAAAGGAGCCAGGGAGAGGAGAGAGGAGATAGCAGGGATAGGAGAGACGAGGGGGGGAAGAAGCCAGGGAGAGGAGAGGAGAGGAGAGATCAGCCAGGGATAGGTGCACGGAAAGGGGGGGAGAAAGGAGCCAGGGAGAGGAAAGAGGAGAGAGAAGTCAGGGAGAGGAGAGAGAAGCCAGAGAGGAGAGAGAAGTCAGGGAGAGGAGAGGTGTTGAGATGCAGAGGTGAATCAGCAGCCACACAAGCATGCACAGTCACACACAGGTGCAGGCAGATGGGGGAGTGTGTGTGGTGAGGGGGGGGAGGGCGGTAGAAGAGAAGGATGAGATATTAGACTGTTTGTCTGGTATTTGTGAAAAGAATTGTTGTGTTGTTCTGAAGTGAACAGGAAATAACTGCCATAAGTGAGCAATAGATCAAGTCTTGTCGAGCAACAAGACTTGCTCGACATACTGTATGCTCATTTGAAGTGCCATCTTTACATATACGATATTATATTTCAGTCTTGTTTTTGAAATATTTGAATGAAGAAAATGCAATGATCAGTGAAATGTCTGCCTAAAGGAGCCCGGCTTTATAATGACGCTCGTACTTGGAGCTCTTCCTCTCCAGCACAAGACACCAGTGTAACATTCTTGACAAGTTCTGACTCTGACATGTGGTTTCTGAGAGTTGCCCTTTAATCAGTTTAAAAACTGACAGAAAACACATCCTGAGGTGAAAGACATACATGAAGAAGACAGTCAAAGTGACATTATGGGGACAAACAAAAATTATGAGAAAAAAATTAAAATAATGAAGATGGACTCATTGGCCCAGCGGTCAGTTACCTTGCTTAGGGAAACAGGCCCCAGGGCTGTGTGCTAGAAAAGAAAATGTCAGGTGTTAATATGAGTGTTTGTGCACAAAGTGCAGACAAACACATCATGAGAATCAGGAAAGAGCTGTGTCTGAGCATCAGCTCTTTCCTTGATTAACAATTAGTGAATGCATCATCATGCATCATCACATATTCAGCAGGTGACATACAGGAAGTGGAATCTATCATCAATACTTTATACACAGTAGTCATGTATAATTATTCAGTGTGAATCAGAAGTATCCTGAATGTGAAACTAAACAAAACAAAAGCTTTTAGAAATTGTACATTTTTATACATTCATTTTGATCAAAATCCTCAGGTACAAACAACACAGCGACACAAAGCGGAGCAGGGAAGAGTGTAATGAGGCCTAAATCGTACATCAGCATTTAATTTAGAAGAAAAAAACAGGGTGGCTGAACAACCCACTGGCCCAACCATAAAAGAAGAAAAAGTGCTGAGTACATTAAAGGCCCATCAGCTCCATTAGGACCGTCTGAAACACAGCAGCTCAGGGAGAGAACTCAGGGCAAGAGGTGGATTCAGAATGGACTGAGAAACTAACTTTAATTACTAGATAAAAAGATTCCCTTCACAATTTCCAAAAGGTTACAATGCCTGGTGTGTCAAACTGTGATGCTTCAGTGGTATCCCATTGAAGTGAGCCTCTATTCCACGGTGGCTAAACTGTGAGGTGGATGGACTGACCTCTATGCTAACAACATTAACATTGAGCTCTGTGTTGGATCTTCATAGTCTGGCTCCATCAGAGACCGCTCATGTCCACTTTACACTTCATTAGGCTGTAGCTTATTGAAAACGAGCTAATCCGCGCATGAGAGCTCCATAACAAATGTTGGGAAAAGCTGGGTCTATGGACAACAGTCTGTTACGGAAAATTAGCACCAGCGAGAAAAGCATGGCGCCCTGCTCAGAAACAGTTAATGAACCAATTGGACATGCTGTAGCCGTGTTTATGAGGCCTGAACGGACAAAATCTATAACAGTGTCATAGTTTAGAACCACTTTGGACCCAATTTTGATGTGGCAGTTTCCCACAGCATCTGCTCCATCACCATTTTGCCTTTGGTCAGTACTTTGTCTAATTTGTACCAAGTAACCTTCTAGTGGGATAATCACCAGCTTATTGTTTGAATGACAAATTCATATATCACAGTAACATATCTATCTCCATGAAAAAAATAAGGAGACACTAATAGACTAATATTGCAACAGGTGAGTACAGTAAGAAGTAAAAGTGTAATGCCAAAGTGTGGAATAGAAAAAATAGACATGCAAAGGCTAGGGTTAGGGTTAGATATCATACAAATATTTACAGTCTTTTTAAAATCACTGTCATTCTAAACACATTGTTGTCTCGTAGCATTTAATCAAGTTAAAAATCACAAGAAGATTTAGAAACGACAAACAAACTTCTAAATAATGCTAACATATGTCAATACAAGCAGCAGGCAACTCCAAATGTGCGTTAATCATAGATCATTGGAGCAAAATGGAGATGAGACATTGGAGAAAATGTAATGCAAGTCTGATTACTTACAACAGGATTTGAAATATTGTTTTGAGGAAGCCAAAAACAAGGATTTTATTAATGCCATTATTGAGTATAGCTACAGGAGGCTGTGACAATCATTGAAAGGATGACTGTCACAGGAGACTGGAGCTGCACTGCTAAGATCGGGCATGGATGGGAACAGGCAACAGCTGTGGCTAAAGACAATACTAGAGAAATAACTCATGCACATATACATATTTAAAAGGCTAAACAAGCTGCTTTGGAATCGTAATCACTACATTCTAACTAGGCAGTCCAATCCCAAAGGAGCCCTATGGTTGATATGTTCATTGCTTTTGGTTTAGAGATGTATAATATTTAATTTGAATACAGTACAAACAAGGTTGCAATTCATAATCTACAGCAAGGAATTTCTGCAAACGTTGAGTGCATTTCCAAAAATAAACAAAGCCGTTTTAATGTTTTTACAGCCTCCCACATGACTGTATTGGCGAAGAGGAGAGTAAGACGGTTAAAAATAGTGAAAAGTTGAGGAGGTTCTGAAATAGTGAATGGGACTCAAACTGGAGACATGGAAGATTTGGAATCCCCTTGCAGCATTCCAAACTGGACAACGGCATGGACACTCAGACCGACATTTTTGCATGGATTTGGGGACCAATCACAGAACGGGGAGGGAAAATGGAAGCTTGTAATGTGTTTACAGATCCAGCAGAGAGCAGCAGAGACAATGTTATCTTCCCTCATGTTTTACTTGTACAGACTCCAGTAATAGTTTTCGCACCATTATGTCTTTTTCACGTCTTCACTTCTCGTCGTTTTTCTGTTGCTCCACACACGGTATTGGTTTGAATTGATACATGTGCAGATGCATTTGATAGCCATAAGAGCAGTGAGAAAATCAAATGCCAAATCAAAAGACAAACTGGAAATGTATCTTTAAAACTTTTACTTTACTTCCTACAGTCCAACAAAAGGACTTTGTGTCTGCCACAAGTAGATGTGTGTTATTATATATATTGACTATATCATTCATTATTTAAATCCTGTGTGTGTTTTTAATGTTTTACTGTACTCTGGAATTAGCTCAGACAATCACATACAATCACAACAAAGACAATCTACCAAAATATTCACATGTCTCTATTTCAGATCTGGAAGAAACACTTTCAATCCAATGATGAATGCGAGACATGAATTATAATGTCAGAAGAACTTGAACTTTTCCAATTTCCTTGCAGCCTGATAGACCCATTAATCACAGAGTTGCTAACCGAAAAAAAATCAGCTATATGAAACAGACACTTCCTTATGAACAAATGCGTCTTTGGATTTCAAAAGTCACTCAATAAAAGGTTACTGAGCGTTCCTGCAGTGGCGGTGATGCTTTCGGGAGGCATCGTCCTCCCCCTGGTTCAAAGTGTAATTTATTGCGAGGTTGGAGCGTCTGCTGTGTCCTGTGGGCTGTGACAGTGCAGGATGGCTGAATATTAACCAGCGGAGAGAAAGGAAAGGAGCAAAATCAGGTGAAAACAACAAACTGTAAATTCGGCTTGTCGTCCGGGGCAACGCCAACAAGTGGATTTAACACAGCCCAGCGGCAGCACTTAATGCACACAACTCAAGGCAGGAATTATATTATTTATGCCCAGAATACGGATTTTGAAGTCTGCTCTATATGATACTCTACAACGTGTTCATTAACATTTTGTATATTTAAAATCCCAAACTGAGCTAAAAGGACGAGACATAGAATTATTCAGGCTGTACGGTGGCTGAGTGGTTAGCACTCTCGCTTCTCAGCAAGAAGGTCCTGGGTTCGAATCCTGGTCGGAACAGGGCCTTTCTGAGTTTGCATGTTCTCCCCGTGTCTGCGTAGGTTTCCCCCGGGTACACCGGTTTCCCCTACCAATAAAAACATGGCCTGTACTGGCAACCCTGATCCTATCTCTGTGTGGAGTGAGAGACAAATGCCCAAAAATAACAATTGTAAACCGCTTTGTGAGTCTGGTCTGCGAAAGGCGGTATATAATTAAAGATTACTTACTTACTTACTTATTGAATGAATGAAATATTTATTTCAAAACCTGTACACATAATTTTACAGAAAACAAAACAAAAGCAAAAACACGTACAGGGATTGAAAAGGGGTTGGAGGAAGCAGAATGCTTATATTAATCCAACCCCCCTCACCCAGACTCACAGGACAATCAATAAGACGGAAACAATACCATGCTGGGTAAAAACACATAATACAAATGTTTACTGTACAGTACATACAGTAAGAACAATACAACA